GATTTCACAAGTAATGTTCTGTTTTTTTTTTTTTTTTTTTTTTTTTTTTCTTTTTTTTTTTTTTGAACAATAGTTTATTTTAAGAAAGGATAGGTACAGGCATCTTGTTCAGTATCTTTTTCATTATTTTATTGATCATTATTGTTATTGGGTTTCCTTTATCTTTTATTTCTTTTTATTCTCTGTTTTATTTTTCATTTTCTTCTTCTCCTTCTTGGTGTCGTGTATATATTATATATATATATCATTTATATATCATATATTACTTTGTGCTTCCTTTAATTAATAATTTTTTACTCTATTAGCTTTTGGTATATGCTTGCTCTCTCTCATAATTTTCGTTTTTCGGTCTTTCTCTCTCTTATTAATGTCTTTTGTCTTCTTATTGCATTTACCTTCGCTCTCTTCTCTATACTTTCTTTATCTTCGCGCTCTCTTTCATTTTCCATTTAGAATGGCTCCTCTTCTGTATTCTGGTTTATCCTTCTTCCTTCATCCCCTTTCTGAAATCTATTTTCTCTCCATATCTTCGAATTGCTGTTTATTCTCTCCGTCTCTATTCATCATCATTCTTCGTTTTCCTCTGTGACGTAAAAAAATATTTCTTAAATTATGAGACTTGGAATGTTTGTCATATCGCTGACGTCATCGTGTTTGCCCGTTTTCCCTTTATCTTCTTTATTCTGTGTATCTTTTGTTGCTGAAAAGAGGAAATAACGATCATTAATAAGTAGTAACGATGATAATGATGATGATGATGATGCGTAGTAGTAATATAGTAATGATTATGATGAATAGTAGTAATGAATTAAAGTAGTAGTAGTAATAAGGATGATGATGATGATGATGATGATGATGATAATATAAATAATAATAATAATAATAATAATAATAATAATAATAATAATAATAATAATAATAATAATAATAATAATAATAATAATAATGATAATAATGAGGCAATAATGACAAAATAATAAGAACATTGAGTATAACAATAAGGATTGTATGTATTTAGATGTGCCTGCTAGTATGATGATAGAAAAAAATGCTTACTAATCTGACTACTACTTTCTCTCTATGTTCACAGTATTTTCATATTCAGAGAACGTTTTCCTTACCCGTTCAGATTATCATCGTCATCGAACTTGGTCAGCATACAGTTACATAAGCCAAGCATTTCCTTCCCAAGCTAAATGTTTTCCGTCCTCTTTTCTTATTTTCCTTCTTTATTCCCCCGTTTTTCATCACCTCTCCTTTCTCCCCATTCTCGTACATCCTTCCTCCTGTGATCGGACAACGGACCTCCACGTCTGCGTCGACCTTGCGTTCAAAAACGTTACTGGAAACGTTTCTTGATTTTGCGAACGACCGTCTTCGGGTAATTGCCAATTTTCCTCACGTTCTTCCACCATTTCCGGTTGTTTGCGCCGTCGTCGGAGAGGCAGAGGGTCGAGGTCGAGCTCGAGGAGGACATGGAGGGAGAATAGGAAGGGGGACGGTCGAGGACGAACAAGAGGAGGAGCAAGAGTCGGAGGAGAATGAAGGAGAAGGCGAAGAGGAGAGAGAGGAGGATGGTTTCTTGGATCCTCGCGTGGCGTTGGGAGGAGAGAAGGACTCGTAGCGCCTAACGTGGCCGGCGCTGTAGGGCGGGAACGTCAGGATGATGAGAGAGGAAGCGTCCAGACCGTACCCCGTCGTGCACAAGGACGCCACTTCGACCGAGCTGTAGTTGTCGTAGCAAGGCATCTCGACGGCGCTCGCGAAGATGTTCTGACTGCAAATTGTCTTGTTAATTATGAGTCAGTTTCTTGCGATGCTGACTGCGCACGAATGTCGGTTATTGTGTCTAGAATTCTTGTGACCCGATCGCAAAATTGTGATATTAATTACACAAATTCCTTGCGATATGGAGGAACAACTTCTTTGCGATATGGATGAACAAATTCTTCAGATAGGGACGAACAAATTCTTCAGATAGGGATGAACAAATTCTTGCGCTATTTCACACCTCTTGCGATACTGATTTCACAACTCTTGACCTGCGATGATGCACGGTATCACTTGGACAGACAAAATCACTGTCTATCCAACGAGAGCCAGGAAGGTAGTTCAAGCAGTGCGCAGAACCCAGTGACTTGGTTTCGCAGTTGTGTCAAGCTTTATATACACCACCAGGAAGGGAGGACAAGCGCTGGGTGGGTAGTGGTGAGGGTGGAGG